ATCTCTACTAAAAATACAAAAATTAGCTGGATGTGGTGGCACACACCTGTAATCCCAGCTACTTGGAAGGCTGAAGCAGGAAAATCACTTGAACCCAGGAGGTGGAGGTTGTTGTGAGCTCAGATCGGGCCACTGCACTCCACCATGGGTGACAGAGTGAGGCTCCGTCTTGAAAAGCCCAGGGAAGCCAGGCATGGTGGCCTGTAATCCCAGCACTTTGGGAGGCTGAGGCAGGTGGATCACAAGTTCAGGAGTTCAAGACCAGCCTGACCAATATGGTGGAAACTCTGTCTCTACTAAAAGTACAAAAATTAGCCAGGCGTGGTGATGGGCGCTTGCAGTCCCAGCTACTTGGGAGGTGGAGGCAGAAGAATCACTTGAACCTGGAAGGTGGAGGTTTCAGTGAGCCAAGATTGCACCACTGCACTCCAGCCTGGGCAACAGAGAGAAACTCCATCTCAAAAAGGCCCAGGGAGCAGGCATTTAGGGAGGCCTCAGTGGTAGAATTTGACGGATGTCGTCTTTGGCTAATCTTGCAAGAGCTCAGGTTCCTCTCAGAGACAGCAGGAGGTTGGACAGGCCTTGCTCCCTTGACCCTCTCTGAGGGCCGTTCCTGTGCAGCCGTGGGGGCAGGGGCCGCTACGTTCGTTTGACTCTGGTGAATATTTGGATTGCCTCAGATCATCAAGGGAACACTGCAGCGGGAAGAGTTGGACTGAATGCATTGTGACCCTAGGACGCTTCTTGGAAATTGCTTTTTAAAATAAACCCCTGCCATCAGCCTGTTTTCATTTGCCTCCCTACCCCAAGAAGCTGAGTTCAAACATAAACCTCCATTCTTCCGGGTTCTCACTCATCAGGTGCTGCTGTAAGATTTCAGGAAAGGGAAGGCTGGTCTGGCATCTCCACCCGCGATCTGCATGTTTTTAACGGCACTCAGGCCGAGACTCTTTACAGTCAGGCAGGAAGTGTTTCCTAGATTACTCTGCAGTGTTTATCTTCGACAGCCTGGCGTTCCAAGAGCCATAAATTTGCTGTTTCCTTGGGTTCTCTTGAAACTGGGCGCCTCTGTGTGCAGTTGCCCCCGCAGGGATCGAAGCTAGATTTCAGCTCTAGAGCAGTCTGCATGTGGGGTAAGCTTCTGAGACCCCTTGGGTGTGGGGCGAGCCTCTCCTAGGATGGCAGCCAGGCTCCCTCAAGTCTCTACCCTTGCAGGACCTGCAAACCTGGCCTAGAAGGTGGGCCGTTTGCTCCCAGCACGCACAGGCAGGCCCAGGTCAGATCTGTGAGCCCTGTCGTGAAGCCCTGATTCTCTCCGTCTTCAGGGGGATAAAAATATTGCTGTCCGGGACTCGCCCTCCTTCTATAAACAAATCAGTGAAGCCCCAGCAAACCAGGGTGTGTTGTCGTTGGCACCTTCATGTAAGAGTGCCAGCCACCCACCCAGGCTACTCCTCGGAGAAGGGGCTGTGGTGGCCAGAAAGCCTCCTGGTAATTGGAAACAAAGGGGTGTGGGGGCTGCTCAGGGATCGGGGTGCAGGCCTCCCAAGTCGGTGCACCCTTTTACTCTCTTCCTGCTCAGATCTCTCCAAGTTGCTTTCCCGAGAAACCTGCACGACAGCGGGACAACGCAGGGTTCAAACCAGAACAAACTGCGCCTCAACTTCAGCTCTGCCACTTCTGAGGCTCCCACCTTTCCCAGTCCCATCTCGGCAGCCACATCCATACAGTGGGGACGCAGGCATCTGCCTTGAGACAAAGATGACGATGTAAAAAATTCCGTTACTTAGGAGAGCGCCCGTACGAGGTGGAGTTGACCGACGAGGGAAGATGTGCCTGTCCAAGTGGACCTGGGCAGGGCAGCGGGTCCCCCCCAATCCCGAGCCCTGGCTGCCCCTGCCCAATAGGTCTGCAGAGCAACTTCCTTGGCACCGTTCAGAGACCCTCTACATATGGGTGTCTCCCTGGAATGCTCTAGCATCCCCTTTGAACTTCGTTGGATCTAAATTTAGACTCCCAGCTTTATCACTCATGCTTGACTAAGTTATCTTTATTTTTTCAAGGCTTTTGGAGATTTCCTTCATCAGGAAAAAGTCGGAAGTAGATGTCCCATGGGATAGTATTAACAGGTCAGCACCCCTCCCTCCTTACCCATGCTCAGGAAGTGGGGATGGGGATAGCACTCAACTCACTTTCCTGTGCCCTCAGGGTTCACACCTTGGGCAGGAGTGGGGATGATTCTCCTCCCCTCCCACCCATCTGACAATGAGTTTGGGCTTTGGGGGGAGGAAGAAAGGGAAAAGAATGAGGTTTCGAGGACTGTGGGGTTGCCTGAAGAGAGACTTGCCTCTCGGGGGACACTGCTTCTCACCCCTTCATCAAAGTGTGGCAGTGACGTGGGAGTGTGTATTCTAGCTACTGCAGAAGGCACTTAGCTTCCCCAGCCTCATTCACACACAGCAATACAGATGATGTATGTCATGACTTGAAAATATTTTTAGCTCCATGAGGCCCTGCTAACCTGACCTACCCAGATAGCTGAGGCTCTCAGAAGTCATCGCCACACTAGAAGACCCATCCTTGTGAATTCAGGGGCTTCGGACAGATAAGGAGACAAGAAAGCAATCAGGTAGGCTTTGCACATTTTAAAAAATTGAAAGAACCATGGTCCTGTGTGTCTTGGAAATCATCATCTCTAAATTTCATCTCAGTTCAACTTTGGCAGTGCTTAAGGAAGTTAGAAAGACTCGTGCGCTGTGACTTTCCTCGGGAAGGCAGCACTCATTACCTCTCCTCTGCCTTAGTGTCTTCCTGGCAATGTCCCAAATTACTGTCCACTGAAGGCAACACAGACAGAACCTGGGGCTGACACTAGGAAGAGGAGGGAGACCCGATTTCTGTTCCTCAAAATTGCATTTCAAAACTGTCCTCCCAACAGCTGTCTTAAAAAATTTCACTCCCATCCGCAACTTGGTAAAGGCTGTGGATAAAAGGGTTTTTTTTTTTAGCGGTTTGCTCCTTCCCACTTCAAAGCACTTTTTTGGGACATGCATCGCAGTTAAGGGTCAAAGGACTTGGGTACAGAGAGACAGCGCAGAGGCTTTGGTCATAACCCCGAGGCGCTCCCACCCTCAGCCTGAGCCAGGCTGTTCTATCACCGCTGTTTAATCTAACATCACTCCAGTGGTGAGCCTTTTGCAGAAGATGAAGGAAATCAGAAAACAGGTAAGGTCACCTAGCAGGTGCACCAGCCAAATCCCCACAGTGAATGCCGAGTGGGGCTGTTCATGAATGGTCACAGCAATATTCTGTTGTCTCACGTCTCTGCCACATCCCCTCCCTGTGAACCCAGGGTGGGGTCCTTGTCACTGCCTCAGTAGAGTGCAGGAAAGGTGACATTCTGTGACGTGAGGCCAAGTTATAAAAGGCCACAGAGCTTCCATCTGACCCTCAGAATGTCCACCTTAGGAATGCAGCCACCATATTGTGAGGAAGCCCAGGTCACTTTCTGAAAGGCCTGGCTCTTCCTCTCCCCGCTTCATTCTATCACAGTTACCTCCCAGGTCACTGTCGTGCCTCTTAGAAGCTACGCAAAAGACAACGGGATGGAGGAAGGTCCTAGTGCTACTTTTGAGCTGCATCTTTGCTTCTCTGACATCCACACATACTTGTCCTTTTGCATTTTCTGGGACCAGGACCAGGAGCCTGTAGTCAGTCTCCACCCATGTCAGATTCGCAGGGAAGCCTCCGCCCTCCTCACCTGCATAGCCCTTCTACCTTTCGTGTTGTGTTTTGGATTTTCTTAGAAGCCCTCCAAAACCCTATGAGCCACCCACCCACAAAATGTCCAAGCTGCCCTGTTCTTGCCTCTTTCCAGAGGAGAGAGAGCACGCTGTGACCCCGCCCTCATCACTCCGCAGGGATTCTACTCTCAGAACAGGAAGTGTCTCTCCCTGGGACTCTGCACTGCAGGCTGAGCGGGAGTGTTTGACGATGATGAAAGGGTCAGTTCATCATGAAGACACAACAGTCAAATGTGCATGGACATAAAAGCTTCAAAATGCAGGAACCAAAATTCAGCAAAATTAAAAGGAGACAGATAAAATGCTCGGCCCTGGCCATGGAAAAAACACCCCTCTCTCAGCAATGGAAAGAACTAGACCAAAAGAAAAAAAGGAAAGAGACCATCTGATCACCACCTCCACCTGCTCGGCACTGACAGTGCAGACGCCTTTGCCAAGAAACTTCCCAAAACATCACCACAGTCTGCTTTCCCCACGGTGAGTGGCAGCCGCCTCAGGAATGAGGGGGCCCCTGCCCTCAGTGCAAATCAGCTCCTACAGTGTTGGTCAGAAGAGATGCCAAACCCCATAACTTCCACGGAGAGCCCATGTGAAGTCCGTAAGGGTCAGATGCCATCAGCGCCACAGAAAGTGACCCTTCCTGTGTGCGGGTGGTTGACACTTGAGACAGAAACAAATCCCCATCACTCCCCCTTTAGCAGTGAGACCTAGCCTTGGAAGCTGGGTTGCAGCGTGGAGCCTGTCTGCCCCCAGGGTCACTCCTCATCAGAGCTGGCCTCTCCAGCTTCCGGCTATAAATAACTGAGGGGCAGGCCCGCAGCCTGGAAGGAGACAGGACGCATGCTGCTTCCTTCTGCCTCTGTGGGCGAGGGGGCTCTGCCCCACCCCCAACACAGTCCACCTTGTGCTCCACGAGAAGTGCCCAGAGTGGGGAGGCCTCTCCGTGTGTGCAGGCCCCTGAGGGCCGCTGGCTGGGACACAAGAGTTGAAGGAGCTGCCTGATGACGGGTGTTCTGTGGCTTTTCCAAATAACCTTTCCTTTTTTTTCTTGAAACAGTCTTGCTCTGTCGCCCAGGCTGGAGTACAGTAGCGTGATTACAGCTCACTGCAGCCTCGACCTCCTAGGCTCAAGCTATCCTCCCACCTCAGCCTCCTGCGTAGCTGGGACCACAGGCAGGAACCACTGCATCCAGCTCATTTTGTAGTGGCAGAATCTCACTGTGTTGCCCAGGCTGGTCTCAAAGTCCTGGCCTCAAGCAGTCCCCCTGCCTTGGCCTCCCACAGTGCTGGGATGACAGGCCTGAGCCACTACCCCGCTAGACCCTTCCTCTGAATCCCTGGCAGCTACTGGACAGTGCTGGCCAGCATCCTAGGGAAGGAGAGGCAGGGCGGCCCCCCGGTGTTAATTCTCTTCACTGTCCCAGGAACAGGGGGCCGACTCTGCTCTGGAGAGTTTTCGGGCACTCAGCTTCCTCCTCAGGGAGGAGAACTTGTCCCCTAGGACCTTACGCAGCCCCGCACTGTCCCTGCCACAGGGAAGTTCCTGCCTGGTGGCTGGGAGCTGGCCAGTGAACATCTCCCAGCGGTCGAGGGCATCCACAGCTCTGTCCACCTGCGCCAGCTCCTCCTCTGCCCCTTCCCGCTGCAGGGCCTGGATGCACTTGGCCAGCCACCGTTCATGCTTCTTGATGGCCTCCACCGGGCCCCCAAGTGAAGGCGGAGCCTCGGAGGCCTCCAGGGAGCTCAACCCGTCCTCTGGCTCCAGCCCTGAGGAGAAGGCATGACTCCAGGCGTCAGGGGTGAGGGGCTCCGACATGCTGGTGCCGGGCTCTGAGTCACTCTCGCAGCACATGCCTGAGTCGGTGCTGACGGGCGGGGTGTCCTCCCACCCTGATGGCTCCCCTGCGTCCTGGCTGGGCCACGTCCCTGCCACTGCCTGAGTCCAGGTGTAGAGTCTCTAAGAGGGAGAAACACAGGCTAAGTTTACTCCAGGCCAGCCCTTCTCTAGACAGGAAACTGCCCAGAGACCCAGCTCCTTACCTAAGGGGACCCCAGTGTCCTCAGTTACACAGGAGTCAGACTTGTTACATGAGGGCTTCTGACCAGCGGCCTTTTGAGGACTCATGTCCAGGCTTTGCTGGAGTCGGAGGTGCCCACCCCCAAGAGCCCATCATTCACCATTCAGGAACTTCACCAGGTACTTGTCCAAAGTTAAAGAATAGAAAGCTTTGGTGCGGTGGTTCACGTCTGTAATCCCAGCACTTTTGGAGGCCAAGGTGGGCAGATCACAAGATCAGGAGTTTGAGATCCACCTGGCCAATAGTGAAAACCCGCATCTACTAAAAATACAAAAATTAGCTGGACATGGTAGTTGGTGCCTGTAATCCCAGCCACTTAGGAGGCTGAGGCAGGAGAATCGCTTGAACCTGGCAGGCGGAGGTTGCAGTGAGCTGAGATTGCGCCATTGCACTCCAGCCTGGGTGACAGAGTGAGACTCTGTTTTCAAAAAAAAAAAAAAAAAAAAAAAAAAAATTTGCTTTCTATATCCTTTTTTCTCGGCTCACTGCAACCTTCGCCTTCCGAGTTCAAGCAGTTCTTCTGCCTCAGCCTACCAAGTAGCTGGGATTACATGCGCCTGCCACCACACCCGGCTAACTTCTATATTTTTATTAGAAATGAGGTTTCGCCATATCAGCCAGGCTGGTCTCCAACTCCTGATCTCAGGTGATCCACCTGCCTCAGCCTCCCAAATTGCTGGGATTGCAGGTGTGAGCCGCTGTGTCCAGCCAGAAAGCTTATAATGCATTAAATAAAATTTTAAATTTTAAAACAAAGGTCTGGGCACAGTGGCTCACGCCTGTAATCCCACCACAGGAAGGCAGAGGCAGGAGGATCACTTGAACCCAGGAATTCGAGACCAGCCTGGGCAACATAATGAGATCACAAGGGAAAAAGAAAATGTAAAGCAAAGGGAATACTTGAAACTCACTTTCTAAATATTTTCTACATTTCACTCTTAACTGCCTCTGTCCAGGGGACATGAAGTTTAACACAGTCCCACCGCGTGCCTCTTCCTGACTCAGCACTGATATTGGGTTGGAAGCTCCTGTCAGCCATGGTGAGACTTTACACCACAGCAAGTGGCAGAGACCACAGGTTGGGCTCTTTCTTCTAGAGGCATTCTTTTTTTTTTTTTTTTTTTTTTTT